ACACTTGTGGGATATATCATAACGGGGGGGGGAGTCGAATAGAGGGGGGGGCAGTCAAATCGGAGAGAGAGGGGGATTCAAAACGGTGAGTGGGGGGTAATCATTAAAAATTTAGGAGAGGTAGATGATCGTAATTTCTACTAGTCTATATATTCAAATATTTCTTCATTTCGTTATTTCTTTAGATAATAAAAAATTAGGGTCAAAATTCAGGCGCCGCAAAAATTCAGCAGACTCTGGGGGGAGGTAGGGAGGGGGTAGCGTGGTAGAGGGACGTAGCGAAGAGGGAGGAGGGGTTAGTGCGGCTAGAGAGGAGCTGGAAGGGGGATGGCAATTGGTATTTTTTTTAGCACCACTCATCAAGGGGGCAAGTTGTGAAGGGTGGCTAAAAGGAAGCGGGGGTGTATATATGTATCTATTACTACATTAAATAATAAAACTGTATATTGTCTTTGAACGTCAGAAGTACATATAACATATAATTGATACACTTAAAATACATATAAAATATGATATATCTTCTGGATACAGTCTTCTACGTTGAACGTAGAGAAGATCAAGACGAAATAACGCACGAGGCGATCGTTTTCCTGAACAAGTTTCGTCAGTTCAAACGTCATTTTCGTCTTTTGTCTGCATTATGGCATGCAGCTGTGATACCGGCTCGAAAAAGAACTGCTGTGTTGGGGCTGCGTCCACACTTTTTGTAGATGAATTCTGTGAAACCATTATTGTGATTAATACAATTATCAATTATCAATGGTTTCATTCCCATTTCGGGAAACACTGAAACATCATATCACGAGTTTGGATCGATAAAGTGGGAGAGGGGTGCTTTCATGGAACAGGACTGAGAAGTTAACATGAAGTTCATTATTTCTACTTGGAGGAGAGTTTTTAATATTATTTATCACGATTTTTCAGGGTGAACCATATATAACATGCCATGTCAACTCAGCCACCCTCACTTTAGTCGTCCCCAAAAAAAAAATTATCGAATACCGGCATTTTCAAGAATGATATGCACATATAGATGAAATTTGCCTATAATATTTCCCTCCACCATCAATGGTTCACGAGATAATCACTTTCAAACTTGAAATTTTCTAAAAATTATTGAGTGCTGATTATTGATTCCAACAAATAAAGAACAAAATGTTTGGAAGGAAAATTCGCCGAGGTGCGTTGATCGCTGTCGGGGAAAAAATGGAATTCGGTGTTCACCCAATCGGGCAAATGTGATACGCGAGTAGTAGGGGTGACGAAGCGTAACTGCGAGGCTTGTGGTCATCCATCAGGATATGTAGTTGACCACTGCATTTGTAAAATCTGCATGAAGTTAATTCTAAGTATATATTAGCTTTTCTTTGACTTTCAAAACTTTCAAAGTTTTCAACATTTACAAAATTTAAAAAAATCTCCTTTCACGTTTCGATTGTAATTGACTCTTTTTAATCATCGCTGGCCCTCTAATCGATGATCCACCGACATCTCTATTCCTTCAGAGCAACAGTGGGTGACGACCAGTTGTTCACCCTCTGCCATCTTTGGTTAGCCATTGTTTCCGGGCGATAATTGGGCGACAGTCAGCCAACAGTCGCCCGCCATATTTTTTGACTGTTGCTTCTGACCGAAAATCCAGTGATGGGGAATGACAGTCGCCTGACGTCTTTGTTAGTCCGTTGTTTTAAAGTGACAGTCGGTTGAAGGTCTGTTGACAGTGTTATCGGGGACGGTTGATAGTTGCTCTGGAACGAGGGTCAAAAAAACATGACAGGCGACTACTGGCTGACCGGCGCTCAACCGTTGCTCTGAAGGAACAGTCAAACAAAGCTGTCGAGGCATCGTCGATTGTCCATTGCTCGATCATCGTTCGAGAGCAACGGTCAAATAAACAGTGTTTTTCCCAACGTTATTTACTGGACTAACCTAATTCGACTGCTATACTATACTGTATTTTTGAATGCTATATTTTTTAAATGCCTGTCCGGAAAGTTGACGGTTTTCGGTGCCGTTTAGCGAAGTTTTACGCACTCGAATATTACTATACGCACCACCCTAAACTTGATGCATTTGTAATACAATATACCATTTCCTGACATAAATAATCAATGGTTAATTGTTGCATGCAAAAACTAGAGTTGTGAGTATACCAAATATGAGGTTGGACTATCCACAAACATATACACCGAAGACATTATGCCACATTCAGTTAACAAATGCCTAACAACAAACAACAAATACTACGCGTATGATCGTTATAACATAATGACGGTACTTTTAACAATTCCAATTTTATATCACTTAATCAAACAATACATTCGAATTCTTCGTATATATCTACTGGTAGCTTTTTTTTTTATTTTCGCCATTGTCTTTCAGTTTCCGGCCAGACAGGCTTGAGACCTCTAAAATCTTTGTACCAAACACTACCCTAGCTAACTCTGTTGTTAATTTCTTGGTGCCACCCTGATAAAGGTGTCGCTTCATCTCTTTGGATTCGAAATACCTCCCATGAACACTACGTTCTTTCTCAGGGTAACCATTCTATAAATTTTAAGATTTATTCCTTAGTATCCAATCACGAAGAGCTGTTTCACGATTGAGGGGCTACTCATTCCCTGATTGAATGATACCATGACTTCGAAATGACGATGGAGGCTTCCAATGTGCCTTAAGGAGACACATTTGGCCCAATAACTCAACCTTAAATTGTATCTTAAACTGCTTGTTTAAAATATACCAATGACAAAAAAACCTTTATTGTTTATATTACCACTGACAATAATATTTCGTTTTAATTGGGCAAAAGGGAGATTAGAGATGAACTGAGGCAAATAAGATGAGTCAAGGGATCGAGTGAGATGAACCGAATGAAATGAATCGATGGGTAGATCAATGAATGGGTCCAGGGATCTGTGCCAAATGAGATGAGTCGATGGGTGGGTGAATGAATGGGTCGAATAATTGAAAATTTTAAAAATATACCTTGGGCGAGTGTCGATCGTGAGTGGCTCGTCTGACCGTGGGGGACCTGGAATAATGGCGTCTTCTTGCCTCACGTGGTGTCGACGACTTTTGTGGCCTACTCCGTTGATGCTGACGATGTCTTGGCTGGGAACGAGATCTCGAACTATTCTGGGAATGAGATCTTGGTCTCCCTTGAACACGTGATCTCGATCGCCTGTGAGTACGCGATCTCGATCTCCCCTGAGAACGAGATCTAGATCTTCTCTGAGAACCGGATCTAAATCGGTTCTGGGAGCGAGATCTTGATCTGCTCGCAGACCGCCATGGAGATCTCCTCTGAGAACGAGATGGGGATTTACTTTTAGAACGTGATGGAGATTTGCTCTTAGAACGTGATGACAATCTGCACTCAGAACGCGATGATGATCTGCTCGCAGAACGAGATCGCGATCTGCTCTGAGAACGAGATCGGCTCTGAAGAGGAGTGTTGACTTTACGTCCAGAAGTAAGTTTCGATCTCGTCTCAGATGACGACTTTGACTTTCTGGCGGGAGATAGCTCCAGCCGTAAATTAGGCCTTTCATTACCAGCATCAGCTTCATTATCCTATTAGAAAGAAAGAAAGATCGCATTATTTAAAAAAATTTATAGTTTCTTCACCACTATTTTACTACCCGGCAAAATTCTATTTTTTAACAAATGGCCTTGCAAAATCGTTTGTAAATTTACAATTCTACAGTTTATCTTTTCCGTATACGTACGTGGAATTTTTAAATTACAACAATATATACCTGGCGACTCGAATCATTTACTCGATGTGGAAGTTCTTCCATTCGTGCTGCTTCGTTGATTACCGAGTTGATGGTTTCGTCCATAAGGGTTCCATTCTCAATTTGAATATGTCCTGATGATGAAGCTTGATTTTGACTTCCTACGGTGGAAGTTTTTCGTTTCTATACAAGAATAATTTCAATTTAGCACTAGATTACCGAACATTTAACGAGAATTTTATTATTCAAGCAGAGGTCAAACTGGAAAACAAAATCATTTTCCGAGAAAAAAAGACTATTTTGTACATAATTTTTTATCAGATGTGGAATTTGAATTTTTCTCAATCTAAAATTCAACTTAAGGCCCGGGTGTAATAATTTTTTCCCCCTTGAGCGATTTAATGCCATCATGTTTGGTGGTTGCATTAGGAATTAAAAAATCCCTAATTGCANTTTGGGGAAATTAGGCACTGCTAGCGGGTAAAATCCACCCCCGTTCGAATCGGGGAAGTTGATATTTTCACTGAATAAGGGGAGAGGGTTGAGGAACAAGTTTGAGCCCAAATCCTGTTTCCAAAAAGGGATTAAGAGTTTGNGTCCGTATGTAGGGGATCAAATCAGGGGGCCTAATTTTTCCTCCCCCAAAAATCATCACATACATAAAAAAAAAGATTTCTAAACAATGATAGNAGGGGTTAAAAGCCACCCTGGTTCGAATCGGGGAAGTCGATATTTTCACTGAATGAGGGGAGGGGGTTGAGGAACAAGTCTGAACCCAAATCCCGTCTCCAAAACAAAATTGAGAGTTTCTTTTCCCATTTTTTGCTCTCGGTTCGCATGGATTTGCGGAAATTAGGCACTTCGAGGGCGTAAAAGCCACCGTTTTTCGAATCGGGGAAGTTGATATTTTCACAAAATGAGGGGAGTGGGCTGAGGAACAAGCCTGAGCCCAAATCTAGTCTCCAAAAGGGGAATGGGATTTTCTTTTTCCATTTTTTGCTTTGAGTTCGCATGGATTTGGGGAAATTTGGCACTTCTAAGGGGTAAAAGCCACCCTCGTTCGAATCGGGGAAGTTGATATTTTCACAAAATGAGGGGAGTGGGCTGAGGAACAAGCCTGAGCCCAAATCTAGTCTCCAAAAGGGGAATGGGATTTTCTTTTTCCATTTTTTGCTTTGAGTTCGCATGGATTTGGGGAAATTTGGCACTTCTAAGGGGTAAAAGCCACCCTCGTTCGAATCGGGGAAGTTGATATTTTCACAAAATGAGGGGAGTGGGCTGAGGAACAAGCCTGAGCCCAAATCTAGTCTCCAAAAGGGGAATGGGATTTTCTTTTTCCATTTTTTGCTTTGAGTTCGCATGGATTTGGGGAAATTTGGCACTTCTAAGGGGTAAAAGCCACCCTCGTTCGAATCGGGGAAGTTGATATTTTCACTGAATAAGGGGAGAGGGTTGAGGAACAAGTCTGAGCCCAAATCCTGTTTCCAAAAAGGGATTAAGAGTTT